TATGGGATATGTGATAATTTTTAGAAAATTTTGAAACATGCGTCATCTAATATTGATAAAAATATTGGGATGAGCAAAATTTAAAGAAAATAAAACATCTATTACCAATTTTAATCAAATTTTGTGGGTGAGGTACGACTAGGAGTGAGCCCGTAAATTCTATGTTCCCATTTGATCTTTAGTTTAAAGAAATATTTAGATATACCAAGTTCGAATAGAATCGCTGATTTGTTTTGAAAGTTATATAAATATTTAAAATTGATATAAATATTTAAAATTGTGGTCATTTGTGGGGAGGTGCCAGGAGGGGTTTGTCGATATATATCATCTTCACGATCATCTTGCGTTGATAAAAATACTGGGATGTGAAAAATTTGAAGTGAATCGAAAGCTTATTTCTCATTTTATGAGAGTCATAATTATTGGAAATGTTGACCCGTTGTGGGGGTGGGGTTATCAAAAGGATTGGCTCGACATTTTCCATATTGTTTTAGTAGAAATATTGACATGTGCCGAGTTTGTGGTGGAAGGATATATCCAATCTTCGTACCAGATCTTTTGTTAATAAAAATATTGGGATGCGCGTCGTTGGGATCGTAATGTTATTATCAAACTTAGATCGAGTTCGGAGATGGGAAACATTTACTTTTCCTGGTGTCTTCGCCACAAAATTTAAAAAATTTTAAATAAAATAATTTACCTCATAGAAAGCGAAAAGATTTTTGTTTATCTTGGTCAGGTGAGAAAATGGACAATATTAGCCCACTCATTCGAGTCTTGGAATAATTATAACTCTTATAAGACATGAAATAAGAGTCTGATTTTCTTCAACTTTCACACATCCCAATATTTTTAGTAACGCAAGAACTGACGTGAAGATGGAATATATCGGTCCACTTCTTCCAGATGGAAATGAAGATGGAATATATCGGTCCACTTTTGACCCTTATAACGGGTCAAAATTTGGTAAAGCCATGAAGAATATATTAGTTCACCTCTTCTGGTACCTCTCCTACAATGGGTCAAAATTACAAATAACAATGAAGGGGCCCATGATTCCTTTGAAACAAAGCACATCGACACTTTCTGGTACCTCCCCCACAACATTTTGAATAATTATATATCTCATAGAATGCAAAAAAATCATCTGATTCCTTTTAAACATCTGATACCTTCCAAATTTCACACATTCCAATATTAATACCAACACAAAATCTGGGATGTAGATTATATATATATTTACCCATCGCTTTTGGTACCCCCGCAAGGAGTCAGAATTTTCAATATTTATAACTCTCATAACTTGCGAAACAAGTCAACGATTCTTTTCAAACTTGGTATGTCTCAATATTTTTCACAACCAAAGATCTGATGTGAATATGAAATTTATCGACTAACTCCTTCTTGTAATTCCCCACAAGAGTTCAACATTCTAATTATTCACATAAAATTGGAAATAAATGTAGATTTCCTTTAAATACCGGTATAAAATGAAGTGGAATCCTTCGGTACACTATATCTGGTACCTCATGCATATTTCAATATTTTCCAAAAATTATCATATAAAGTGAAGGAGTTCAAATTGGTTCAATAGTTTGAATAATCATAACGCAAGTCAAAATATTTAAATAAACAGACATTGGCTCAGGGAATACATTTGTAAAAAAAACCGACTGATAGTTTCGAACTTGTTTTCTATATCCCGATTTTAGACAATATAAGTTAAGGTCAGATGTGCCAAATTTATGTACTAGAGATTTCGTTGAAAAAAGACTTTCAATATCAACAAGTTAAGTTCGGCCGGGCCGAACTTTGAATACCCTCCACCATTTGGAACGAATTTAGAAATTTTTAAAAAATAAAATCCATTAAAAATTCTGTTAAAATCTTAAAAATGCTGAATATATCCGTTATATTGGGGTCTATACGAGTGGGCCTACGTAGGCTTTGTTTGTCATAAGCCATTTACATATATGAATTCCAAATTTGAAATAAACGTTGAATAATGTAGCTAAAATCATAAAAATATCGTATATAGGGAGGTACCGTTATGTCGGAGCTATACGAAGACCTGGACCTGCATACTCAATTTCCTGTCACAGGCTGTAGCATCCATTACGAACCTCAAATACGACATCTCAAACAATTCGGTGAGTATTGTACCTGTCTTAGGCTGTAGTATCCATTTCGAACTTCAAATACCAAATTTGAAACAATTCAGGCGAATAATGTCGCTAAAATCATCAAAATAATACGGAATATCGGGAGGTACCGTTATATGGGGGCTATATGAAAACGTGGACCTACATGGGCCATTTAGGAACCTTCTGCCTACTGGCAAAATAAACATTTGTTCAAAATTTTAGCCTTCTATCTCAATTCATTCGAAAGATAGCGTGATTACAACAGACAGACGGACATCGCTAAATCGACGTAGAATTTTACGCTGATAAAGAATATATGTACTTTGTTGGGTCTGACATGAGTATTTCGAGGAGTTACAAACGGAATGACAAAGTTAATATACCCTCCATAGTATGGTGGAGGGTATAAAAATGTTCGCGAGATGAATGGAAATTCTGGAATTTTTCACAGAAAAAATATTGTCCATTTCACTCGCTAAATGTAATCCATTATAATCCAATGGTGAGCATATACACTGTCATAAAATCATTTGATCGCCTGCGCTCGGCGAGAGAAGAAGATCCATATATAACGTCGTGGATATACAACCACTAATTCGAGGTGTTGCAAACATTTTGCCCCAATCAATCCCACCCAACAAATACTGTTGTAGGGTATAAAAAATAAACATTCTAACAGATGTAAAAACTATACATCCTAAAACCATAAAAACTTACCCCGAATTGACAACAACTTCCGCATAACCATTCGATACAATCTATTATGCAGATAATCACTTTGTCGGTGGTTACCTAAGACTTTAACAAAAATATCATTTATTGTGGTATTTGTTGAAAATTTGCCAAATGTTCATTTCAATTTGAATTTATTTAGCCGTTTGACATGATAATTGTTTTGTTTGCCTAAAGAGACCGGCGTTTTCATAGGCAACCTTTCAACCGTCTTTACTCTCGAAATACTTTTAAGCCTTTTTCTTATTCAATTTTCCTAAAGAAAAGGAAAAACAAAAACTAAACTCAACCTCAAAGGAAAGCGATAAAGGAATGTATTTAGGGTGTGGGTGCGTAATTCTTCGTTAACCATGCGACACCGACTCTGTTTAACGACGACAACAAAACAAACTTTTACTTTCAGTTACTTTGGTAAGGAGCGGATATGTCACTCTTTATAAAATAAAATAAAAAACGTAGCGAAGAAATTGGGTCGGAAGTGAAATATTTTTTCTTTTCTGCATGTGAGAGTGAATGTTAAGCGTATAACAAGGATTCTTAAGACTATAAATTTACACCATTTCCAAGTCGCATAAAAAATTTAATGAAGTGTGATTTTTTCATGGAGATAAGTTGTACGTGGACAAATGTTCTGAGTCTTAATTCTGCAATAGAGAAAAGTTCGGAAGGCATAATTTTTCTATACGGAGAAAAGTTCATCCGCTATGAATTTTTCTATACGGAGAAAAGTTCATCCGCGATTAATTTTTCTATACGGAGAAAAGTTCATCCGCCAATAATTTTTCTATACGGAGAAAAGTTCTTCCGCGATGAATTTTTCTATACGGAGAAAAGTTAATCCGCGGTGATTTTTTCTGAATGGAGAATATACACATTTTTCCGGATAAACTTTTTCCAGAAAAGGATATTCATCGTGGACATTTTATGCTCAAAGAAAAGTTTATACTAGATCAATTATTTGTCTGCAAAACTTTCATTCAGGAGGAAAGTACATCCTATTTATTATACCCTCCACCATGGTATGGAGGGTATATTAAGTTTGTCATTCCGTTTGTAACTCCTCGAAATACACATTTTAGATCCCACAAAGTATATATATTTTTGATCAGCATAAAATTCTATGTCGATTTAGCGATGTCTGTCCGTTATTCACCGGAATTGTTTAAAATTTGTTATTTGAAGTTCGTAATGGATATAACAGTCTATGACAGAAAATTGTCTATGCAGGTCCATGTCTCATATAACGGTATTTTGATATTCGGTATTTTGATGATTTCATCTACATTATTACCTATTTTTTTAAATTTCGAATTTGAATATTGTAATGGCTTATGACAAATGTTACCTATGCAGGTCCATGTCATCGTATAGACTCTAATATAACAGCTACATTCGGTATTTTTAAGATTTCAACAGAATTTTTAACAGATTTTATTGTTTTTGAGAATTACAAAATTCATTCCAAATGGTGGAGGGTATTCAAAGTTCGGCCCGGCCGAACTTACAGCTTTTTTACTTGTTTTTTGTAAGAGAATGCTCCATCAGAATGAATTTTGCCACAAAGATATGATCCTTCATTAAATTAGAGAAGAGTATATTTTCCTATGGAACAAATTACATCCAGAATGAAATATTGAGAAAAATTTATTTATTTTTAACCATCCTATATAGGATTACAATTCATCAACTTAAATGAAATGTCCCAGAAAAAGTTTACCAGCCATATAATTTCTAAATGAAATGGTGTAATATTTTATTACTGCAGTTGAAATTTCCACACCAAAATAAAAGTTTGACTTTTTTTTTGGGTAAATTTCCATAGCTATTTATTCTCCGACCAACTTTGTTAGTAACTCTGTCGTGCGGAGCATTTCACACGTGGTTGGGCGTTCAACAAAGTTAAACACAAAAGTATTTGATTTACATTTTCTTTAATGAAAAATGTAACAATTGCGAAAAGTGATTTTATGCAAAGGAAAGTGATTTCGAATTTAAGTAACTTCAAGTTTAAATTATGTGTCTCTTGAATTTAAAAAATATTGCAACAAATTTATCGATTTTTCTGCAAAGAACTGGGAAAAGTTATTTAATTGAAAACAAAGTAATTTTTTTTTGGGTTTATAGTAAACGAAATTTCGACAAAATAATTAAAGTTGTGCAAATTTGTTTGGGAAAATCCCAAAGCTTTTGGCCAAAACGTTCCAACGTTGTATTACCGGCATTTTATTGAATAGTAGTTTTAAGTTAAACAGCACCACAAAATGGGTGATACGGATGCGGTAAGTTTTGGCAATATGTTAGAGTTATTCATTTACATCCACAGCATATGAAATGCACATTATAATTTTGTAGATACTCACATATAAGTTTATAAAAGCAATTTAATAGTATTGCCATTGAAACATTTAAATTAAAGCTGAGTATATTTTTACAATTGAACCGTGTGAAATGAAATTCATTTTTCAAATGTACAAAAAAATATATTTTTGTTTTTAATAATTAATTTTTTAATATTTTTTTCGAAACGTATTTGAACCAGATCAATTTGCAGTATTTGTAATCAAAAAATTCACATGAGTGGTTTATTTACGAACTTATATTGAATTGTTCATAACGTGGATCAAAGGTGATATAAAGAAAAGTAAAATAAAATTAATATATTTTATGATTTTAAAATATATTTCAATTCCACACTCACAATTTTCTTCTATTTCAAATATTATAAAATTTAAAGTAAACTGTGCCGACTTTATTAATTGCGTATTAAGGTTTAGAGCGGTTTAAATTTCAAAATTAAAACTAACCTGCGAATGCTATACCTTAATCGATTTCCACTAAACTTGACTGAGGTATATAGACTACTTGTTATGACTTTCAGAATACGTAATTATAAAATCGTATGACACAACTTTATTTCGTCAAATGTACCGTCATTGATATATTATTTATATAAAATTATAGGGAAAAAAAATATGGAAAAAATATGGAAAAAAATGGAAAAAATATCCCAATTAGAACCGATCTAGACAAAACCTTTCGGATGTACCCAATATCTTGTACCAGAAATCCTTTTTATGGAGTGCATAATACGGATTTGGGTGACTTAGATATTAAATCGGATGAAACATATATATGGGAGCTATGGCTATATCATAAGCGAAATTTAGCATCCTATTTGGGCTAATATTACACATTTGGCGCACAATAAACGTGAAATCAGATACAGATATATATCGGAGCTATATCCAAATCTGAACCGATCTCGATAAAATTGGGCAGACGTATTTCTGAGCTCTATCTGATATCTGGTACCAAATAGCACAAATTTCACAAATTTCAATAGGTCTCGTCCTTGTTTTAAACAAATCATCTGGGCAAAATTTAATCACAATCCAGCAATAAATGCGACATGCATTTTGTTCACAAAAATGACGGACGAACATGTATAAATCGATTCTGAATGTGATTCTATGAAGGTCATCAAAAGGTATACCTCGTTTCATTTGCCTGTTACAAACAAATCCACAAAGACAATAATACACAGTGTGGTGTCGAGCAAATTTGGGGAATCAAATGACATTATATGATGATGACATATACTTTTAAAAATTTGTTTGTAACCGTAAATGCTATTGCATACAACTCCGCTTCAGAATGTGGCTAGAACATAACAAGTAAAATGCAGCTAAGTTCGGCCGGGCCGAACTTTTAATACCCTCCACAATTTGGAAGGAACTTGAAAATTCACAAAAAAAAATCAAAAAAGTACCGCTCAAATGAAACCCGTTATATGGGATCTATAGGAAGACTTGGACATAGGCTCTAGTATCCGTTATATGGAAGCTACACTGCATACGACATTTTTTGGCAAAGGCTGTAGTACCCATTACTAGCTATGAATACGAAATTTGAAACAATTCCGGTCTATAATGTTTTAATATTTTTTTAAATATTTATTTATATTTTTCATTGTATTTTAAATGTAAGCCTTGAGCCAAAGTTATAACTCGCACTCCATAGAAAAGATATTTAGTACAAGAGGTCAAGTATAGCATACAAATATCACAGTCAAATTAAGTGGTAGCTCTACCAAACCAAAAAGGATTATGTTCGGGCACCGTAAAATAACTCGAATGATGAATATACCTGGATTTTCCTTCACAAACATATTCGAAACTGTTCAGTCATTCAGAAGTCGGGCACATCATGGAATAATTATTACAGAAAGAAGCAAACCCCAGCTGATTTCACTCTATGGTATTGCTAGTGTCAATTTCGGTATGACTTTTTGTGATTTAATTATTTCTTTGTATATACAATTATTATTTCTTGATATACAATAGGTATACACATGGTATAATAAAAAGGTAAGGTAGAGCAATTTTTACAATTTTTTTCTAAGTGTGCCCGACTTCTGCCAATTTTGTGTATGTATTTGTTGTTTTGAAAAATAAGAAAAAAATTTTCAAAATCAATGATTGGAAGAAACTTAAATTGCGGGGCGCGCATTAATAATATTAACGAGATTTACCATGGAATTGAAAAATTGAACACTCAGGACCATATTTCTAAAAGAACATCCAGGCATTTCATTCATCTTTCGCGTTATTTGACTAATTTTAGAAATGAACAAAAAATATCAAATAAATGAAAAAACTTGTTGCCTATAATTTTGAATAATTCTGACAGGAAGCGGGCATAGCCTCAGGGTTGTATTTCTGCAGTTTTACGAAGCTGTTGTACCTTCTTATTGTACCATGGGTATACACCTTTTTAAAATGGAATTTCACTGCATGAAATGTCAAAATATTTTTTTTAAATAATTATGGAAACAAGTAAAAAAGCTGTAAGTTCGGCCAAGCCGATCTTTGAATACCCACCACCATCTGAAACAAATTTGACAGTTAAAAAAAAATCTGCTAAAAATTCTGTTAAAATCTTAAAAATGACGATGTGGACCTGCATTGGCAACTTTTGTTATAAGCCATTGCAATATTCAAATGCGAAACTTGAAAAAAATTCGCTGAATACTGTAGCTAAAATCATCAAAATACTAAATATAGGGAGGTACCGTTATATGGGGGCTATACGAAGACGTGGACCTGCACAGAAAATTAGCTGTCTTAAGCCGTAGTATCAATTACTTACTTCAAATACCAAATTTGAAACAATTCCGGTTAATAATGTCGCTAAAATCATTAAAATACCGAATAACGGAGGTGCCGTTATATGGGGGCTAAGCGGGGGCGTGATCTGCACAAACAATTTTCTGTCATAGGCTGTAGTATCCACTACGAACTTCAAATACCAAGTTTGAAACACTTCTGTTGAATAATGTCGCTTAAGTCAACAAAATACCGAAAATAGGAAAGTACCGTTATATGGGGGCTATACCAAACCGTAGACCTACATGACCCATTTTAAATACCAAAAGTCCTGCAGATATAATATACATTTGAGTAAAATTTTATCAATCTACTTTATTTCGTTCGGAAGCTGGAGTTATTTTCACAGACGAGTAGACGGACAGACGAACGGACATCGCTAAATCGACATATAATTTTATGCTGATCAAGAATACATATACTTTGTGGGGTCTAAAATGTATGTTTCGGGGTGTTACAAATGGAATGACAAACTTAAAATACCCTCCATGCTACGTTGGAGGGTATAAAAACACGCCAGCCTCGATGATGCGCAAACTTTTTTGGCGGTTAAGGAACACTGACATATTTCATGTTTTCTAACACTTGTATTACTTACATAAACAAATTTGTATGTAGTTGTTGTTACATTTGTTATACTACAACACTATTACCTGTATCATTCTACCATGCGGGCACACTTAGAAAAAATTGATATCACCTGGTAGCTTTACCTTATCTTTTTTTTTTTGTACCATGACATAAGCTATGGAATATTCGGCCACTTTCAACTTTTGTCCTTTCCTTACTATTGCATTATCTCATATAATGCCAATTTTCGATGTCTCCGGTAGAACTTAACTGTATTTTTAATTGATTTGATAAATACCACAGACAGTCTCGCCCGCTCAAAGACGATTTCCCCCTTAGCAGTACTATACACTTTCTATAGCAGACAGGTTAAAATCCTTTTCTAAATTAATACAAGTTTTAATGGATGGAATTCATTATACTTGTTTATTGTCATGTATATTGCAGATTATGCAAATATTCTCTAGCTTATGGCCAATCCAGATCCTTTGAATCACTAAATAAATAAATATCAAACCAAAAAAAATGAGATTCTGAAAATTTTATACGGAATGTTAGACTGCTTTGATTGCATAGATCATAAAATGTCCACATTTGAAGGATAATTTTCAAATGTGATTTTTAGATAATTTGCCGCTGTATTTTTTAACCAAAACGGAATCCTATGATACGATAGAAATAGTGGCGAGAGTTATTCATTTATTATCGGTTTATCTTTCAAATAAACATTGGAATATTTCTCTATCCTCTAATAATTGTCACTCCATCGTTCAGTACTTGCCAAGCACCAAGTGAATCTAACCCTTTTTGTGGACTTTTTCTGACTATAGAAATCTTATATTTCCCTCGTCATAAACAAAAAAAAACATAACTTTTTATTGGTAAAGTTTGTGGTTTGAATAACCACAGCTAAATAAGCGGGGGAAAATAAGTTGCTGCACAATAAAAAAATACACAAATAAATATGCCACATATTGAGCGAATTTTGTTGAATCAATAATTTATTGGCAGTGCAAATTATATTTTTGCGGGACAATAAAACAACAACTAAACAAATTTTCATGACAATTCGGGTCATGTTACAATGGTAAACTGAATTTCATGACAAAAATGCTTTAACCGTAAAAGGATATGGTGTGGATAACAGTGGAGCATGGTTATAGAGAACCTCTCGGGAATCATTACTTTATCCCATATAAACGGCTATGTTAAATAACAATATTTTTGTGTAGCTGTTATCTCAAAAAAATGTTATTCTTTTTATTTAAGTTTCACTGTATTCGATTTGTTATCAATAGAAAACAATTTCGCTTTTTTCACTGCTATGCAAATTAACGGTTCTTCTTTGACAACCATCAAAATGTCCATTAAGTTGCAAATTAATCTGGAAGTTTTCAAAGTTTTGGTTTACATGCACCCTTGAGTTATTGCACCTTTATCAGATAGGCGGCTTAACGAAAAGCTTCCATTCACCCACAAAACTGCAATCACTTGCAACAGAAGTTTAATACTCGACGTTTAGAAAATTGAAAGAAATAACACAAGACCTCCTCTCTTAACACAGATGAGACCTGCTGGACCACCAAGACCACCATTTCCAGGAGGAATGCCACCCAGACCGATGGGTGGTCCTCGGCCCGGTGGTCCACCAATGCCAGGCGCAGGCCCAGGTGCCGGTGTACGTCCGGGTGGTCCACCACCCCTACGTACAATGGATAGCCGAGGAAACCTATTAATGGGAAGTCCTGGTGTACCATCACCACCAAGACCTGGTGGCCCACCACAGAATCCACAAACCAGGCCGCCACCACCGGCCCCAAACACTGGTGGGGGTCCACAGAGTCCAACGGGTCAGGGTGGGCCACGACCACAAGGTGCTTTTCCATGGCCACCCCAGGTGCCTGGGCAACCACAATCATCTACAAGACCACCAAACCCCTTTCCTGGTAATCAAGCTGCTACACGACCGCCATTTAATCGTCCGCCAGGAGCTCCGGGTGGCCCACCACAACAACCTCAAACACGGCCTCCTGGACCACAACAACAGCCACAACCAGCACAACAACAGCCACAAAGACCACCTTCCTCTCTATCGACCAACGACGATGATGATGTGATAATGGGTCAGGCAATCACCCCACAAAAAACAGCTCCACTTAAAAATGATCCCATGGGTCCGGCGTTAAACGAAGCCGATGAAGACGCCGTCTACAAAGACGATTCACCAGTATCCATGGCGAAGAACAGTGATCTGTCATTAGTTTCACCCGATTCCTACATGAATGATAGCAGTATGTCGAAATCCATAAGTGGGGAAGTACCAGGTTCAATGTCGAGTAAGACCTAAGTTAATTATTAGCCTCCCATCTATATAATACAAAGCCATTTCTTACGTTTTTTTTTAAAAATTTGAACATCCCTCTTTAAAAAATTATTGAAAATAATATTTGTTGTTTCTATTTTCCAGAAGGTGACAACGACAGTGGCGTTGATGAATCTACTCAAGAGAAGGTAAGTGACAATGGAATTTAATAGAAAATAATATATTCATAAAGAATATATTACAACTGTCTGGAAATTATCGCTTAGTAGTCGTGTTTTTGAATTCGGATATTCCTTATTCGGTTTTCTCAAATTATTGCAAAGAAGGGTATATAAAGTTTTTTATTCCATTTGTAACACCTCGAAATATAAATATTAGACCCCACAAAGTATATAACGTTTGTTGAGAGTTATGTACAATTTTGACATTGCCACCGTAGTGACATTTGACATTGCCACCGTAATTCAAGCGGATTCCTTTCGAATTGTGAGGCAAGATTTAAACAATTTTCCAGTGTATTTTAATTATTCCAATGCGTAGTTAAGAGAGTATCTGACCATTTTAGTTTTTGTGCATTTGTTTGCTTCCTTTCCTTTTGAAGATCTCTATTCTGAGTCGATTTATGCATATTCGTTCGTCTGTTTATCCATGCATTTTGTACATAAGTTGCCCAATTGAGATGACATTTTGTGCAGTTCATTTGTTTGGCCCAAATATATAGCTCCGAACCAGATTTAGAATCAGCTTGTTTTCAAACGAATTTTCTCACACTCTAAAACGGGCAAAGCAAACTGTTCCTTATTCCAGCGAAACCGAAAAATCGAGTTATGCTCTTTTTGTTTTTTCTACTCTCATAAGTCCTCCCGCTCGACTTCAAGCGAGTTTCACTCTTTATAAGAATTTGAGAGAGTTTTTCAGAGGTCTGATAGCTAGCTAGCTCTGTTAAAAATGCATAATTATGCAGGGTACCATAACGTTTGATTCCAGGTTTCCGAGAAAATTCTCACTTTAAAACTCACTTTATTTGGACGGTTCATACGCTATTCAAAATTATACTTTTGATTCATAATTTCCTGAAAATTTGTATAATTTCTAGTCTTTTTCGATAAATGTTCTCTTTTTTTGGGATGACACATGTTTCATTGTAATTCTGAGAGTGATTCGAGTGGAACAAACGTCAAAAATTGTTGTTCCCCCAGAAAATGTAATGTGACCGATTAAGTAGATATTTAAAAATAAAGGCTCGAACTGAATAGAGATCGGGCGTACAACGAATTGAAAAAAGTAAATTCCGTGTTTGACTTTGAAGTTTAAAGGTTTAGTCTTGGATATTAAATAAAATATAAGGAAAGGCTACAATCGGGCGTGGCCGTGATATCCTTTAACAATATAATTTACAGTAAAGTTTTTGCAGATGTGATTCTTTTGGAATAAAATGAACCAAATCCTCAACAAACTACTTTAGAATTCCTTCAAAATATCAAGATTTGTTCTCTCGATTTGTAGAATTTATAACTGATGTATTCAAATCCAATTTGAAAGCAGACGCGATTATTAGTTCCTCATTTCAAATAATCCTGATAAATCTGCAGCCAATATTTTCCAAGCATAATGAAAGTTTATTGTACCTCATGTTTGGGAATGGCTCATGAAACCATGTCATATAGCCATGCAAAAGGCTATTTTTTCGCACCCACGTGACCATACATATTTTCGTTGTATGGTTAATTATAACCATATTTTAAAAGTTGAATTCCTTCATACATATGCTAAATCTCCAGTGACTTACAATAAACGTAAAGCAACCTATCAAAATTCAGTAGTTTACCGATTTAACGAACATCTAAACATTTCACATATAACGAACAAAAGCCTAAATTGGGTTAGTTTACTGAATGAGAGAATGAGGGAGGCGACGTTGATGCCTGCTCAGCGACCGAATGAGAAAAAAAACAATAAGTGTGAATTGAGCGAGGACTTTCGTATCAATGTTTAAAGCCCGTGATATAAAGTATATATATTCATGATCAGCATAAAATTCTAAGTCGATTTAACGATGTCCGTCTGTCTGTTGAAATCACGTTACAGCCCACATTATTTGACGTAGAGCTTCAAAATTTGGCAGAACAATTTGTATTGTGTCTAGGATAGTCGGTCCACGTTTTGGTATAGCCTCCATACAACGGCACCTTCCGATATTCGGTACTTTATCGATTTTCGCCACATTTTCCACAGATTTGTCTAAAAATTGGTATTTGTAGGTCATAATGAATTCTAGCTCCGATGGCGAATCAAAGTATATATAGGTCCACGTTTTTGTATAGCCACCATATAAAAAAAGTGGCGAATTTTTGGTAGGTCATAATGGGTTGTAGCTCCGGTGGCGAAATAATGTATGTATAGGTCCACGTTTTTGTATAGCCCCCATACAACGGTTCCTCCCGATATTCGGTATTTTGATGATTTTTGCCACATTTTTTCAAGGGTTTCTGTAAAAATTGGTATTTGTTGATCATAATGGGTTCTAGCTCCGATGGCGAAACAATGTATGTATAGGTCCACCTTATCCTATAACGTATATATTACGATAACCACAGAGATTCGGTATTTTGATAATCCTAGTCACATTTACCCACGAAATTATTTAAAAAGTGGTATTTAAGAAGATTTGGTAGATGATAATCCTTGAAGTATAAAATTGCTTATATACGGCCCCGTTTTGACATGGCCCCCGTATAACGGCCTCACTCACTTTATGGTCCAAATGGACCATGTTATAAATTAACATGGAGAGACAAACGAACACACATAGCTAGATCGACTCAGCTTGGTTAGATCGATGTCCTCGAGGTGTAACAAACAATTTGGCCCAATCAAGATTTTTGGAAAACATAATATTGTTTGCTTTCACACATAACTGCGTTATTTATAACAGATTTTGTAGTCATTCCATTTTTGTTTAAGGTTAAGAAGTGCTACCAAATGAAATAACCAGATTATATTTGATTTGATCTGGTTGGTTGAAAACTGGTTTTAGAATAGGAAAAAAATCTCGAATAATTTAAATAACGGAAACTCACAAAAAGAAAAAGAAACTTCCGACTGTTTTCATTTAAATATATATATATTGTAACATATCTTATAATTGTACTTCTATTGACACTAAGAGTGTATAATGGGTTCTTCCTCTGATGGATAAACATTGACCGTATAGATCAAGGTTTAACTATAGCACTCATACAAACATACCTTCGGTTTTTCGGTATTTTGATTAATTACGGGGCATTATTTACCGGAATTGTCTAAAATTTTGTATTTGTAGTTCCTAATGGGTGTAGCTCCGGCGGCAGAATATTGTATATATAAGTCCACGTTTTTACACAGCGCCCATATATCGTACCTTCCGATGTATTTTGGTCATTTTAGCCACATTTTTTCATGATTTTGGGATCCAGGTTTTCTTACCTCCCGCATATAACGGTACCTGCAGATATTCGGTATATAGGCCATATTGTCTATAGGGTTTCGGTAATTGTAGTTCATAATAGGTCCTAAAGCCAATGTGAAAAAAATCATTCATATTGGTCGAAGATTTTCATGTGATGGTACAACCCGATATTTGGTATTTATGTTAGAATGGTATTTTAAAACTCTAACTGCATTCTTCAACCGATCTCACTGGTATTAGTAGATTAAAGTGAAACACGTTTGAATACATATACTTTAATTTAAAATTGTTTTTATACCTAATGGTGGAGGGTATTGAAAGTTCGGACCGACCGACACTTTGAAATCAATCCGTACTATGGACGCCCCTTTAAAATGGATTTAGGAAATTCTAGTTCGAAACTTGTAAAGAAAATTCTGTAATATAATTAATACTTCAGAGGTTTTTTTCAATTTTTTTTTTTTTTTTTTTGTTCTTCCTCATGACATCATGAACAAAATTGTTCTCCAATACATAATAAATAGATCGAAAGACAATAAAAGCAAACAAAATTTTCCCAAAATCATTTTCGCTAAGTACACACATGGATAGACATGGTCATGGCAGTTAGTATCAAATCAATTAAAACGTTAATAAAATTGAAAAATAACTTCCCATATTTATGTGCGTGAGTAATTCTTAAAAATTCTTGAAGTCGCCCACGTAAGGTAGTTTCTAAAAGACAAACTTAATTGACCGACCAAAAATCAATACTAGACATTAATTATTGTCAGAGATCATCGATAAGTATGAATGATTGTATATTGGGGTGGAGTGTTTTTGAAATATATTTTTATTAAACTACACAGCGTTTGTGTAGGTATAATTGGAAGTATTTGAGTATAAAATTGAGAATGAATGATAGACGAAACAAAAATGTTTCGAAAATACGACTAATATACTTAACTATTAACATGTGAAGAGATTATTTCAAAAATGCATTCATTTGTAAAGATCACTCAAATTTGTATTGAATGAAAAATTATAGACCAAAAACGGGAGGATCTATAGAAATATATATTCCCGATTTATTTTTAATAACAAACATTTTTGAAAAATTATGTTTGGTAATCATATACAGGGTGAGATGAAAAAACTGCAACCAACTTCAAATTGCTGTCACCTCAAAGCCACTCGTCCGACAGCTGTTAAAATTATTGCAGTGACAGCTCATTATATTGTTTACAAGCGTACAAAAGCCTTTTGGTGAGAATTTTCCAGAAAAAAAGTTATTCGTGATGGAATTCAAGCGTGATAATGTGATTTCTTTATATTTTGCTGGAAAACCACAAGTGGCTATCGTTAGAGCACTCCAGCATTTAAATTTGAATAAATCTTTTGTATCTCGTTCCATCGCTCGTTACCGTAATACTGGTAGCGTAGCCCAACGTCAAGGAAGTGGACTGAAGAAAACAGCAACATCAGCAGAAATGGTCCGAAAAGTAAAGAAGCGACTTGATCGATACCCGCGTCGCAGTGGCCGTGAGCTGAACATATCGCAATATTCCATTCAGCAAATATTGAAAAATGAGCTCGGGGTAAGCCATTGAAACTCCAAAAAGTGAAAAAAAGAAAACAGATTCAAAAGAGCTAAAGAGTTGCTTCGCTTGGCCGAAAGTGGTGTACTGCTGAACTTGGTTTTCTCCGATAAGAAAACATTCGTTGTCCAGCATTTTGTAAACAAATAAAATGATCGTTTTT